TCTGCGAGGCACTGTGAGAAACGTGACAGAATTCTGAGTCTACCATACCATCCCCCCAGCTGAAGAGAGAAGACCAAAAGACATAACACAACCCATTTTTGTACGGTATTTAAAACATCCTCCATGTATGTGCATTAATTTCACATAATAAATATTTAATGGCCAGACTGTAGGTAAATATTATAAACACAATAGAATTAGTACTATATTAAAGAAAAAAAACTTTCATTTACCAAAGAAAGCCCTAAAACCTAGCAAATACTCATACTAAATCTAGGTTTAGTTTTTGTGTGCCATTTCCAAGCAGTCTCTTAAAAAGGGGGGTGGGGTGGGGAGGTTTCAAAAAGGCCTTTCAGCCCTGGCTGGTGTGGCTCAGTGGGCGGAGTGCCAGCCTGCGAACTAAAATGTCTCCAGTTTGATTCCCAGTCAGGGCACAAGCCTGGGTTGTGGGCCAGGTCCCCAGGTGGGGGCGTGAGAGAGGCAACAGATCTATCCATGTACCCGCGATGTTTCTCTACCTCTCTTTCTCCCTCCCTTCCCCTCTCTCTAAAAAAATAAATAAATAAATAAATAAAATCTGTGTAATATTTCAGGACCTCAGCAGAAACATGATTTTCCTTAAAAAAAATAAATAAAAATAAAAATAAAAAGGCCTTTCAGAATTTGACACCCAGTTTGCAGTAAACCGAAATGCTATCAATCTTTGGATCTGAAAGTCCTCAACAGACTTCTTCCTTTCAGCATCCCTGTTCAGACTTGTCAACATTTCCTCCAAAATCTCCCATTTGCCCTTTTCTTTCCGACAGCCCTTACTTCCTGTCTGGATTTACTCAATCGTTTATCATTTACCAAGTGCCTATTATCTGCCACAGGCAGAGCTAAACCTTCATCCTCGCTCATGTGAAGCTCACACGACACTCAGCAGAGCTGTTATCAGCCCATTGCAATCCCCAGGCTGCAAGCTTTGGCGAAGGCTTTGTATTTCCAGATCCCGGCAGCATCTGGCATACAGCAGACACTCTAAAAATGTTTGTTGTGTGACATTAGATTAGTTTAGCAAGCTCTTTTTTTAATCTATAAATATGTTAGTACAGTATATATCTTCAAAAAGGGCTCTTGCTTTTTTTGTTTAAATACAAAAGCAGTATATGCACCATGCAAAAATATAGAAAGGTGTCGGTAAAAAGTAAATTTCTGCAACCACCTAAACCCCACATCCAGAAGTGATTATTGACGGCGGTTTAGAATGTGGATTTCTAGAACTCTCCTATGATGATACATGACATGCACATGCACCCATGCACACCCCCCCCCCCCACTTTTTTGGAAAAAGTGCTTCGATAGTTTCTGACACTAGCTTCTCAACCTTCTCATCTAGTGATTCTCAAAGTGTTGTCCTTGGATAAGAAGCATCGGCACCATCAGGGAACTTGTTAAAAGTACAAACTAGGCCCCACTCCAAATGTACTGACTGAATCAGACATTCTGGGTTTTTTGTTTTGTTTTTTAAGATTTCATTTATTTATTTTTAGAGAGATGGGGAAGGGAGGGAGAAAGAGAAGGAGTGAAACAGCAATCTATGGTTGCCTCTAGCACACCCCATACTGGGGATATATGGCCTGCAACCCAGGCATGTGCCCTGACTAGGAATCAAACTGGTGATGCTTTGGTTCGATGGCCTGTGCTCAATCCACTGAACTACACCAGCCAGGACCAGACATTCCGGGTTTTAATAAACTCTCCAGGTGATTCTGAAGTGCACTAAAGGCTGAGAACCACTGCTCTCATCCAACTCAGGTGACCCTGGCCAAGCCAGATTTTTAGCTGTCCCTTAAACACAGCAAGCATTGTTATCTTGCATTAGTTCTACCACCCTGCTTCAAAATACCTTCCTTGTTCTTTTGATTAATTCTGACCCTACCAATCTGTCAAAGCCTAGAAAGTTCTAACTCCTCCCCAAAGTGTTTTCACTACCACAGCTCAGCCCTCTTGCACCTCTGCCAACTCCTATGCCATATCTAGTCTCTCTACCACAGGATTTAACAATTACGTACACACTGTCTACAAAGTCAAAGAACAGTTTTTACTATTAAAAAGGCCCTCCAGGATATAATGACACCAGTTCTGCAGTAAACCCAAAATGCTATCAATCTTTGGACCTGAAAGTCCTTGACACACCTATTATATTTCCTAGAAAACATGAATCATATTTTAGTTGTCTCTTCCTCAATCCTGTTCTAAGCACACAAAGAGAATCTTTTTTAAAGATTTTATTTATTTTTAGAGAGGGGGAAGGGAGAGAGGGAGAAACATTAATGTGTGGTTGCCTCTTGCACGCCCCCTACTGGGGATCTGGCCTGCAATCCAGGCCTGTACCCTGACTGGGAATCCAACCTACCACCCTCTGGTTCTCAGGCTGGCATTCAATCCACTGAGCTATACCAGCCAGGGCAGAATTTTGATAAGAGTTGCTGATTAATGTCTTTAAGGACAAATTCATTAAAATACTGGTAAACCTTTAATGGGTAAAAGATAAAAATTTAGTTTTCAAGTTTTAGCTCCAGGTCTGACCTTGGACAAGTTCACTCCATAGCATTGCTTTGCTTATGATGCTATTATGGCAATTTTTAGACCTGACTTGAGTTATAGTTAGATATGGTGTTTCCCAGTTAGCTAGTAAGCTCTTTCAACAGGAACCATGTTTTATTAAATGCTTACTCTCTCACCATTCCCAGTGCCATGTCTTCCACATAACAGCTGAATATATCTGCAGAAAATTATTTGGAAAAAATCGCTAAAAAGCATCATTTATGTAGAGAACTGTGCACAGATATGCTGCCTTCCAAAGGGCCCATTTGAACATTTATTACAAATACTGTGAAATGATTTATGGTAAAAATTGTGATTACTCCGCTAGCACCAGGGGCAGTCTGCCACAAAAGGCAAAAAATATAAAAATGAATCGAGCATGCATTTAGGGATAGAATAAAAGACCACAAGCTCAAGCTACCTTACTGTAGTAACATGCAAATCAAAACTGCTCTCTACAATTATACCAACTCCAGTGTCAAGGATAAACAGGCTTGTTGATACAGACCCTAATTTGCAATTTTCAGAAACAACAGAGTGGACAAGAAACCTTTCTGAGTGGCAGATCTAAAAGGAAAGATCACAAGGAAAAAATATTTGTTCCCTTTATTCTTTTCTGTTTTAAAAAAATCATACCTGTGAGATGAATGTTAGTGGAACCTATTGTGGTAATCATTTCACAATATAAATTAAGCCATCATGCTGTATGCCTTAAATTTATACAGTGATGTATGTCAATTATTTCTCACTAAAACTGGAAAAAAATAAAATATAAAGGAAGGGACAGCAAAGAGAAGTTGAAGGGCAAGTGGAAAATACAGAAAGGCAACAACAACAAAAAATCATTCTTTGAGTAATGAAAAGGAATAGTGGAAATTCACTGAGCCTTTGCCAAAGACCTACTGTGAGCTAGGCATATGGTCCCCAAAGACAGCCCATGAGCTCAAGGGGCTAATAGTCCTACTGTGCGTGTGCGTGCGCACGCACACATGTGTGTAATTCTGATTGGGAAAGTCAAGCAAGGAAGGCTTCACAGAGATGGTGGTTGAGTTAGAGGAGCTTTTAAGTGTTTAAAAAGGATTTGCTAAGAAAGAAAAAAAAAGACAGTTTGAGCTAGTTATTTTGGGGAGGAAACATTCACATGATTTTACAGCTGTTCCTTGTGGGACTTTAAATCGTGGTAGCTTCTTATATTCAGCACCACTGTGTCAACACTCTTTCTCTTTTTACTTTATTTTAGATCCTAAGATGTTCCAGCGCAATGTAAAAACAGAGCCCGAAAGCCCCAGAATGGGGTGAGTGTTCGCCAGATTTGCTCTGTCACCCCCACATCCAGCCAGCCCAGCCAGCCCGCTCCCGCTGTCCCAGCAGCCAGAAAAGGCTAATTATATCCTCTGGGGGCCCGGCTCGGGAAAACCTGGGGGCAGGCTCGCCAGGCTCACCCCGCTTCTGCCAGGAAGCCGCCAGGGGAGCGCTTCACTGCCTCCTAAGCCATAAGGCTCCGAGTCTACCTGTCACAGGGAGGCCAGCTCTGCAGAAAAAAAAAAGTGCGTGAAAAGGAAGGAGGCAACACACTGATTCGGAAACGTTCAGGTTAAGTGAGAATCTTAATGAAATGTTCCGCAAGATCCCAGGCACACGGCAAGCACCGGGTGAGCATTAGCTCTCATTAATAACACTACTATTATTACAGCAACATCTCATTTGTACTTCAGCAACAAGAAAATACTGTTTTTGCAGTCTTTTATGACGTTGAAAATGCAAATCCAGAGATAAGTGTATTCCAATCTTTTTTAAAGGTTCAAGATCAAATTCCAACCGAACTGGCCCAAGACACTGAGGGCAAGATCCAGCCCATGCCTGTCGGCCGCGTGACCTTGGGCAGGCACTTCACCGCTCTCTGCCTCAGTTTCCTCATCTGTCAAGAGGAGGGAAAAGCACCTCCCTCGCAGGGTCGTCGTGGGGCTGCGCCAGAGCTCACCGCCCATCTCCCAAGCCTCGCTGGCTCTGGGGCGGGGGGAGGAACAGATGGGTGTCCACACCGAGGCCCACCCAAGTCCCACCGCCGGCAGAGCAGGAGAAAGGGGGTCGCGCCTGAGGTGGCTCCCTGCGACCAAGAGTGGGCGCCCCGAGGCTCAGCCCCTGCCGCCAGCACGCTGGACGGTGGCAGCCCGGTGGCATCGCCGCGGGGCCCCGCAGCCCGGGCTCCCGGAGCGGCGGAGAGAGGCCGGGCTGACCCGTACTCCCAAGCTGGGAAAGCGGAGGGCGCCAGGGGGTCCTAAGGCTAGCAGCGAGAGCCCGGGGCCCCACCGCGCAGCGGGGACGAGGCGGGGCGGGAGCGAGCAAGGGGAGCTAGGGCCCCGCCAGCAGCGCCCGCGTTCCCAGCGGGCCGGCCTGAGGCACTCACTCACCTGGGGCGCGGGGCAACCCGCCGTCAGTGCAGCAGCGGCGGCGGCGGCTACAGCGGCGGCGAGAGGGGCGGGGGAGGCTGTGCGGCCGCGCAGGCGCGCTGAGGAAGCCGGGGCCGCGCGCCGGTGCCGCTCCCGCCGGCCTCGGGAACTACCAAGATGGTGGCTGAGCCGGGAGCAGCCACCGGTGCCATCTTGGATGTAGTTCTCGGTGAGTCTTTGTAAGTACCCGGAGGGAGGGGGTTGAGTGCTGCGTCCGCCTGGCCTCCTCCCTTCCACGGAGTTGCACCCTCCTGAAGCCCCTGAGAACCCGCGTAGGGCGTGGCATCCTTTCACTAGGGCACGGAGCCGTTACCCAAGGTCACATGGCACTTAGGAGTGCTTGGCATGGGGAAGGGGCTGGTCAATTCTGGCGACTGGACCCAGTGACTTAACTCGAATCCAAGACTCAGCCCTTCCTTATATCACTGTTACAGCTGCCAACTGCGCCATCTCCTTGGGTGCAACATGAGAAATTGAATTCTTTTTTTAGAATGATTACACACTTTAAGCCTAATGGCCCAACAATTGAAATAACACCAAAACGTACAGGACTGAATCCCTTTCCCAAAAGTTTACAATTTAATCTTGTGAAAATTAATAAAGGAAAAGCTTCGTTTAAATGGTGTAAGGGAGGCTAGAAGGGGAGCCCTCAGGTACCACCACTCAGCATCAATTACAAGAAGAATCAATTACCTACCTCAACAGAAAAATACGCACCTTGCAAGTCATACCATTGTAAAATGAAAATCAATCAATCACTGAGTAAATGTGGAGAGCTAATTGGCTTTATTAAGCAGCTCATGAATCCAGTAGTATCCTGTCTAGCAAATACAAGAGTACTCAGTGCGGATGTACAAAAAGGAAGGTTTTTATAGGAAGAAGGGTGAAGCAAGGGAGCTATTTTATTTTATTTTATTTAGAGATGTTGTTTATTCATTTCTAGAGAGAGGGGAAGTGGGAAGAGAAACAGATGAGTGAGAAAAACATCAATTGGTTGCCTCTCGCACAGCACGCGTCCTGACTAGGAAAGGAACTGGCAACCCTTTGATTCACAGGCCAGGCACTGAACCCACTGAGACACACCAGCCAGGGCAATGGTGCTATTTTAAAATGAAAAGAACTGGGGGGCTGGGACACCTTGGAGGGGGGCAACAGGAGGGTTTTTATCATGCAGATTGCCTCTTCTTTGGGGGATAGAGGAAGCCCACATGACAGACTACCTCATGGGTGTTGACCAGAACATTCCAGACCAGCTGACTTAAAATTATGTTTCTGGGAGAGGCTGAAACTGCAATTAGATCAGACATTAAATGTAGGTTTGGTATCCTGGGCCTTAGGCACAAGGACACCATTTTGGGCCTGTGGTTTTTCTCTTTAACGTTACTCCAACAGATTTCCTTCCTTGCCCAGCAAATCACTCGGCCAATGAGGAACTGTTGACAGCTTCTCTTGCTTTCCTTCCATGGACTTTCATTCGAAACAACCCCTTCCAAATTCCTCTATGTTCCTCTCCTTTGCTCGCTGGACTTCACTATAGTTTTTGCTATACTATACTTGTCTGGAATTGCAATTCTCTGTTATTCCCAAACAAACCCATTTTGCTGGTAAAATAACTGGATGTCCTGTTTTTTAAGGTCAACATTACATTATTTATTAAGGATCACTAAAAGTAAAATATCCTCTGAACTAAATTGGGGCAAATATAACAAATGTTACCAAACACCAAAGGGAAGTAATTGTCTATAATACTGTAATTTATCAAGCACAATCCCTGAACCAAATTTGAGAAGGAAAACTAATATTAACTGAGCACAACCTTTTATTACATGATTTATGTTTGTTCATTAACATTTACTGAGTACCAAATTAGTTCTAGTTCACCCTCCGCTACTATCTTTATGTCCTTGGTTAAATTATTAAGTGTCCCCAATCTTGTGTTCATCTATAGTGACACAAATATAGAAGTTACATGATAACATTATGGCCTATATGCATGTAAAATGCTTATAACTTACTACAGTTATACCTTGGCACTTGCTGGCTTCAGAACTCCTCAAACCCTGTACTTGTCGCATTTCGACGAGAAAAAGTTTCAGCACTTGGTGCTTGCTCGGGACTTGTCACACTTGCTAGAACTTGTATGAGTCCCCATGCCCAAGAGAAAACACTTCATCATTCAGTACTCATTGGTTTCAGCACTTCTCCCGAGTTCCAGAACGAATTAAGGAGTACTGAGGTACCACTGTATTTTTCTGTGCTCTATTCTGTTTATCTGTTCAAGACAGACTAAAACGCACTTCTTATGCTTAAGGTCGAACAAATTCTTATGAACAAAAAATGCAACACCATGTAGGAAATAAAATGGAGGAAAGTACAATCACCTTTGGAGGTGATCTATCTATCCCCATTCTACAGATAAGGAAAATGAGGATAAGAGATGAAGATTCATTTCAAACTCTATCCTTTCCTTTACACTACTCTGCTTCTAAGTATAGATTAACACCATTCCTCTGACTCTTAAAAACCCTGGCTTTCCTTGGGACTGTCCAAAGTTTCCTTTTGCTCTATTCTGGACAATATTAGCCACTCTCAAGGCTTCAATAAGTACATATCAGTAACTTCCAAAATTCATCTCTAGTCCATATTTTTCTCCCCAGTTTTCTACCGGCCTATCCAACCGTCTCCTTGACTTCCCCACTTGGTGTCCCAAATTGAACTACCAGCTTTCCCATCATCCACCCAGCTATTCAATGCTTCACCCGCCATCATATTGGTACCACTGCCCTAAACTTGAATTGTTTAATCTAATCTTCATAGCATCCCTGTGATACAGGTTCCGTCACTCTCCTAATTTTATAGTAGTGTTAAAGACCCAAACTGGAGTCACCCAGGATACCAAACCTACATTTAATACCTGACCTAATCGCAGTTTCAGTCTCCCCAGTTGCAGTGACAAGCGTTTAACACGTAAGTTACAATGCCTGCAATGTTCCAGACACTGTGAGCAGCGCACCCCACACGCCCACTGCCAGCATTTCCTAGCACAGGCCGTTTCCCATCTAGACCACCGCAGTAGCCCGATGGATGTCTCATATCCGTACCTTGCTTGCTGCTGTCTATTCTCCACTCAGCAACTACAATGATCTTTTAAAAATAAAGTTCTGCCCTGGCCAGGTAGCTCCATTAGTTAGAACGTCATCTCCATATGCCAAGATTGCAGGTTCAACCTCCAGTCAGGGCACATATAAGAAGCAACCAATAAATGCGTAAATAAATAGAACAAATCACTATTTCTCTCTTCCTTCCTCTGTCTAAAAATCAAAGAAAATAAAGTTCTGGTCCCCATCTCTCTCTCTTAAAACCTTCTAATGATTTAAAACCTGTTTCAGGGGCATTTCCATTGGCACTCAACATTCCTGCTTTACTGGTCTTTTTCTTTAGTATCCCAGAATGCTTCATTCTCTCCCCATCAGGAGGCTGGAAATGCTTCTTTTGCCTCACATATTCGCCCTATTTAACTCCTTCATCTTTCTCAAATCAATTAAAACATCACTTCTGCAGTTGTCTCTTCTTGTTTCCTGTATATCCACTAGACAGTGAGAATCATGAGGGGAGGCCCCATGTTTTTTTTTTTTTTGCCTCCCATGCACGCCCCTACTGATGACCCAGCCCGCAACCCGGGCATGTGCCTTGACTGGGAATCAAACCAGTGACCCCTTGGTCCCCCGGCCAGCACTCAATCCACTGAGCCATGCCAGCCAGGGCCGCATATCTGTTTTTGTTCTCTGCTCCCTTACCAGTTCCTAGAACTGGCAAGTAGTAGGGTCTCTGTAAATATATGAAAGGACAAATAATACATGTAGGTCAAAGCACAGAGATACTGCCTCTCACTAGCTGGTGCATAGACCAAAGTTTAAGACTTATAATTATGACTAGGTACTTAAATGGAATAGGTTTTCTCCTGCTAGGAGGATCAGAGAGTAAGAAACACTAACAATAAACAGTTTGTGTTTTATCAGTAATTAATGCTGAGGCGTATCTCTACACTACTGTTCGCTTCCACAATTGGCAAAGAATCTTATTTTCTAAGCCCTTCTTACCTTTCCATTTTTTTATGCACTCAAATTATACATGAAGACAACAGAAGACATTTAATTATGTACAATTTTATAATGCAGAGTATTAACAGTGAACAATGAAAAGGAATACTTAGCCACTACTTGCCATGATCCAGGACTAAGGACGCTGACTCAATATTGAAAGCTGAAGTATACTCTGGGCATCAGGACATGGATAATGAGTGGAATTTCCCCGATTTGGACATCTTATGAAGTGATACATGTATCCACATGATATAAACGATGCCCACAACTTCTCTACCTAAGAGTCACACACACTAGAAAATTAGTCTCATTCCTTCACAACCAAAATGCAATTTGACCCCTAAAATGTTTCATTGAATTTGATCCTCAGTGACTTTGGGTATTTCAAAACTTGAAAAACATCTATACGAGATGAAGATTTGGGATCACACAGGATATTTAAAATACTAGGCCACTAGTTCTGATGGTCATTCCAAAACAGAAATTTAAAATACTTTGCACACTCTTAGAAAAAGTGTCCATACAACATTCTTTTGGATACATGAATGTCATCACTTTTAGAATAAAATCAAAGTGCTCTTCAGCCAGCCAGTTATCAGAGGTAACCGGGTAGCTACCCCCAGCTCAGACAGCTGGGCAATCACCATGCGCTGGCCCATTCTTCCCCTTTCTGCTCTAGCACACCTCTGGCAGAAAGATACATCAGGTCACTGACAAGATTTAGAGCAATGTGCAGTAGGTAGGTTTTGTAACTGAAGCTTGAGCAGTTTTCGAGCTGGTGAGGAATCTAATTGTTGTGTGCTTTTCTTCCCTACAGAAGAAAGGAGAAAAAAACAAATAAATTTCAATTGAAGTCAAGTAAGACGTATTGAAAACATACTGTTATGGACACTGCCAGACACTGAAGGGCATTACAATGACAGATAAGAATCTCTATCCTTAAGGAGACAACAGTCTGGTAGGAAAGCCATCTGCAACTACAACCACACTACAATGTAATAAATAAGAAAATGAGTCCTGGCTGGTGTGGCTCAGTGGATTGAGCACAGGCCTGAGAACCAAAGGATCACTGGTTCGATTCCCAGTCAGGGCACATGCCTGGGTTGTGGGCCAAGTCCCCAGTAGGAGACGTGAGAGGCAACCACACATTGATGTTTCATTCCCTCTCTTTCTCCTTCCCTTTCCCTCCTCTAAAAATAAATAAAGTCTTTAAAAATATATTTAGGCTGTGAACCAAAGCATCGCAGGTTCGATTCCCAGTCAGGGCACATGCCTGGGTTGCAGGCCACATCCCCAGTGGGGGCCATGTGAGAGGCAACCACACATTGATGTTTCTCTCTCTCTCTCTCTCTCTCTCCCCCTCCCTTCCCCTCTCTAAAAATAAATAAATAAAATCTTTAAAATATATATATATATTTTAAAAACATTAAAAAAAGAAAATGAAGGAATGTATGGCAGTAATTTAAGGCTGGAGCAGATCAGAAAAAGCTATGGATAAGTATTGTCAGTGTCATTTTGTGGATTTTTGAAAAATGCAGAGGGGAAAAAGGGCTATGGATATTTCTTCAATCTCAGATGCACTAAAATTAGTTCGTTGGGACTTAATTCTTAGTCTACTATGTTTCTGTGGAATTCACATCTAGAATTTCCCATCAACTCTGAGTACTCACAACATAATAGTTATCGGGGGGCAGGGAACAACCACTTGATGTGGGCCTTATTCTCTGAGACCATGTGCTGAGGGCACCTGCAGGTCAGTTTGGATCTGAAGGGTTATCCCTCTGGTCCCCTCAAGAGACACACTCACCGAGCTGTACTGACATCTTCTGGAAGCACTGGGTACTTTCGTCCATAAACGCATGCAGCTGCTTCACTGATCCCTGCAGTTCGTCCATCTGCAGATAAAAGACAGCTGTGAGTTGTAAGGGTCCATGGCTGCTCCCATGTTCCTCAAACACAGGAGGCAAGCTTCTGCTCCGGAGCTGCGCTCATGCTGCTCTTTCAACCTGGGACACTTATCCCAGACACCATCCGTCTGCTCCGCCAGATCCACATTCCACTCCTCCACACTGCTCTATTCCCCAGAAAGCTGACCTGGATAACCGCCAACGGGATTCCATGTCCTCTGAGTTCTGGGTGGGTTTGGCCAAGAGGCAGCCCAAGTAGGAGGGAGCTGAATGAGGTCTGGGTATTTTTACCCAGGCCTGTGCCAGGGAGGACCATCCTGAGTTAGCTGTGTCTCTCACTGAGGGTCACGGCTGTCTCCAAGCAGCCATGCTTCCTTCCCTCCGGTGCCACAGTAACTCTTCCTTTTCTCCTCCCTGCAGGTCCAGGGGTAGTAAGAGCTCAGCTGTCTCTAAGCCCCCAGTGCCTTCACTAACCCTTGTGGTTTCCCAATAACCACACTTCATCTGTGGCCCCTTTTCAAATAAACTCTCCTTGAATCGCCCTTTCTTAACCCTGTTGATACTTGGAATGATACAATACTCTTCTCTCAAATGTCCTCAGGGCTCACCTCCTCATTTCTTTCTAGTCTCTATTAAAATGTCACCTTAGAGAGACCTTCAGCAACTGCTTTACATAGCAACATGCTACCCCCTGGTACACTCTCTCCCTCACCCTGCTTTATTAGCGCTTATCACCACATACTTGTTTTTTAAATTGTCTCTCCATGGTTTACCCAGGTAGAGTTAAATATGCTTATCTCATCTCATTACACATATTCTCCAGGTCTTTTCATTTTCAAGGGTGACAAGGTAGCAAAGCTGGATAACCGAACCAAATATAAACATGACCCAACTCACCAGCAACTCCACACCGTCAAAGACTTTGCTCTGGCTCTGTAACATTTTCTGATAGTCAGGCTTCGTGTTAAGAACCTCATTCTGGGAAGACCTAAGATATGCTGTAGGTTCCACTTCAACTTCAGTCATCTTTGTTTCAGTCGAGTCTCTAAAAATAATAAAACAAAAAAAGCTTTCAAGGAATTTCATAATCATTTTCTAGGGAAAATCTGAAAGATTACCTAGGGAAAAAAGCCTTCAATAAGACTTCATTCATCTGAAGCAATATTCTTCCACCCGACTGTAGATACAGGCTCTCTTATTAACAAAGGGGTCTGAAACCATTACCCAGTGTTAGTTTTTTTATATCACTGGACTCCAAGAAATGCTAGAAGCTTCGTATCAGTTGACTCCACCTAACAGTAAGGTCCATTTACAAAAAGGATCACAGTTGGGGCAGAGTAAAGCCAAAGCTTGCTATCCTGAAGTCAATGTCTATGATCTTTCACCAAAAAATGCTAGGCCACATCAATTATCTAAATACCCGAATGTGATGGAGAGTTCATGAAAACTGATGACCCTTTAGTAAGAGCAACTACTATAATTTACTGAATGCCAGACCCTGCTAAGCACTTTCCATTTAAACTGATTTAACATTCACCAATGAGGTTGGTACTATTATCTCCACTTTTTAAATAAAGATTTTATTTATTTACTTTCAGAGAGGGGAAGGGGGAAGAAAGAGAGGGAAACATCAATGTGTGGTTGCCTCTCACACTCCCCCTACTGGGGACCTGGCTTGCAACCCAAGCACATGCCCTAGACTGGGAATTGAACCCACAACCCTTTGGTTTGCAGGCCAGTGCTCAGGCACTCAATCCACTGAACCACACCAGCCAGGGTCTATTATGTCCATTTTTAAATGAGGAACTTCAGGCTTAGAGATTAAGTGGCTTGCTCAAGGTCACAGAACAAAGCAGCAATTAGGGTATGAACACAACAGTCTATTTCTAGAAGTATTCCCCTTAACCAATAAGCCATGTCACATTAAAAGTTTTTATTCTGGAAAACATGGCTCACTTCCTCACATAACCACATCAAAACTACAACTAAACTATAGAACAACCATCCTTCAGAACCATTAGAAATCTAGCTGAATGGAAGTCCTACAACTATGGAATTGAAGAAGAAACCACATTGATACTGGTGTGGAGGGGAGACTTAAAATGGGCTGGCCCCAGTCCCACATGTGGAAGATAAAAATTGGGAGGGATTACTCAGGACCCACGGGTCCCAGCCTCACGCCAGGTCCCCCAGCCCAGGGTTCCAGTGCCAAGAAGATTAGTCTCCCTAACTTCTGGTCCTAAAAACCAGCGGAGATTAAGGCTGTGTAAGACAGAAACTTCTGGTGTCCCAGGCAGTTCCTTTTAAAGGACCTGTACACGGACACATTCAAACTCACTCCCTTGGCAGCAAGCTTTCTCCCCAGCAAAACGGCTGGCAGAGGCGACTGTTCCTTTTCTGAACCCTCTCCCCATAAAGCAAGCAGGTGGGCGCCATATCTGAGAGTTCATCAACCTGGCTCACACTGCTTGCCCCACTCTGGTGATTCCCTGAGGCCCTGTGTCACCCAACTTTCAGACCCATCCAAGCTGTTTTCAGTGGCTTTTCCATATGGCTTGTCTTAGCCCATGCTTCAGATTTTCCTAAATTCTCTCAAACAAGCAGTATCTGGCTTCAGCAAGCACCAAGACCTGAACCTCTTGCTAAGTTGCCCCAGGCCCAAAACTAACAGTAGCCAGCCTTGGTTCACAGCTTGGCCTCTCCTGGGGACCTCCAAGCCCAGCACAAATAGCAGCCACCTGCAGATCACTTTGTAGCTTATGCAGTGTGTCCCCAGACAGAATACAGGCAATGGCTGACCTTGGACAGGCCAACAGCAATCAAGGCTCAAGTACAACAGCACTATGGTGGGCACACCCTGAGTACCCAGCTTGGGTGACAGAGGAGGCTGTGCTACTGGACCCTATGGGACACCTACCACATTAGGCCACTCTACCAAGCCTGGGAGACGTAGCAGCTCTACCTAACACACATAAACAAACACGAGGAAGCTGTCAAAATAAGGAGACAAAGAAACATGGCCCAAATGAAAAAACAACAAAACACCAGAAAAAAACATGGCCCAAATGAAAAAATAACACCAGAAAAAAACACAAAACTAAACAAAATGAAGACGAGCAATCTGTCAGATGCAGAATTCAAAGCACTGACTACAAGGAACTTAGTGAGGACCTCAACAATAAAAAAGATCCGGTCAGAAATGGATACACTAATTGAAACATAGAAAAATTTACAGTGAATCAACAGTAGAATGAATGAAGCCAAGAATCAAGTCAATAATTTGGAATATGAGGAAACAGAAAATACTCAGCTAAACAACAAGAAGAAAAAATAATAAAAAAAAATGAGGATAGTGCAAGGAGCTTCTGGAACATTTCAAGCATACCAACATTCACATCATGGGGGTGCCAGAAGTAGAAGAGAGAGAGCAAGAAATTGGAAACCTATTTGAAACAGACATACAAGTCCAGGAAGTGCAGAGTCCCAAACAAGATGAACCCAAAGAGACCCATACCAAAACACATCATAATTAAAATGCAAAAGGTTAAAGACAAAGAGAGAATCTTAAAGGCAGCAAGAGAAAAGCAGTTAGTTACCTACAAGGGACTTCCACAAGACTGTCAGCTGATATCTCATAAGAAACTTTGCAGGGTAGAAGGGATTGGCAAGAAATATTCAGTGATGAAAAGCAGAGACTTACAACCAAGATTACTCTACCCAGCAAAGCTATCATTTAGAATAAAAAAATAAATAAAGAGCTTCCCAGGCAAGAAAAAAACTAAAGGAGTTCATCACCACCAAACCAGTATTATATGAGACATTAAAGGGTTTTCTTTAAGATAAAAAATACGAACAGTCAAATGGTAATAAATGCATACCTATCAACAATTGAACCTAAAAAATAAACAAACAAGTAAAACAGAAACAGAATCACAGATAAAGAGAATGTTTTGATGGTTGCCAGATGGGAGGGGGGACCTGGGGGATGGGCTAAAAAGGTGAAGGGATTAAGAAATACAAATTGGTAGTTACAGAATAGCCATGGGGATGTAAAGTACAGCATAGGGACTAGAGTAGCCAAAGAACAGATATGCATGACCCATGGACACGGGCAACAGTGTGGGGACTGCCTGAGGGGCTGGGTGTAGGGGGGCAAAGGGAGAAAAATGGGGACAACTGTAATATAAACAATACAATTTTTAAAAAGTTTTTATTCTGAAACTGCCACCTTACACATGATCTATCTTCATAAATAGAACATGTAATGGGTGAATAAAAGTAACTGGTTAACTATCAATGCCCCCATTAGAGAAGTTTTTAAAAACATAGTCCTCAAGGGACTTCCGGCCAAGATGGAGGCATAGGTGGATGCACTGTGCCTCCTCACACAACCAAGATAGGGACAACAACGATATAGAAACAGAATAACAACCAGAGCTGACAGAAAATTGATCTGAATGGAAGTTGGACAACCAAGAAGTTGCAATAGACCTGTTCACCCAGACAAGTAGGAGGGGCGGAGTCAGGCAGAGTCAGGCAGGTGAGAGCGGGTTGCAGCGCGGAGAGCAGAGAGCGTTGGGACCGGGCGCGTAAGGCATCCTGGGCGTGCAACACCACAGTGGGTGGACCCTGAGTGTGCAAGCGGCAGCTGGCAGACCCCAGCCAAGGGGTGGCAACCGGCAGACCCAGTGAGGCGGCGATTGTAATGCAAGGCACTGCACGCAACCCAGGATCCCAGCGCTGGGAAATAGACCCTCGGGACACTGATTGAGAACACCTGTGGGAGTTGAGGCGCAGAAGAGGCACCCAGCCTCACAAGAGAGGTCCTTGGAAAGTCCCACAGGGTGCACAACCCCACCCACATGGGAATTGGCACCAGAGGGGCCCAGTTTGCTTGGGGGAAGCAGCAGAAGGGACTGAGGTCCCACTGGAGAATGGAGCTACCGCCATTGTTCCCTCTCGACCCCGCCCCCAAATATGTCACAATCTAGCGACTGGGGTGCCCAGCCCCGGTGAACACCTAAGGCTCCACCCCTCACCATAACAGGCACGACCAGACCAAAAAAAAAAAAGAGAGAGAGAGAAGAGAGAGATGGCTCAAACAAAAGAACAAATGAAAGCCCCAGAACCCATCCTTTTAAGTGACCGAGAGATAGCCAACCTATCAGATGCACAGTTCAAAACACTGGTGATCAGGAAGCTCACAGAACTGGTTGATTTTGCACGCAAATTAGATGAAAAAAATGAAGGCTACAATAAGTGAAATGAAGAAAAATACACAGGGAACCAATAGTGATGGAAAGAAAGCTGGGTCTCACATCAATGGAGTGGACCAGAAGGAAAAAAGAAATAATCACACAGAAAAGAATGAACAAATAAGAATTCAAAAAAGTGGGGGGAGGCTTAGGAACCTCCAGGACATCTTTAAACGTTCCAACATCCGAATTATAGGGGTGCCAGAAGAAGAGGAAGAGCAACAAGTGGAAAAGTTATTTGAACAAATAATAAAGGAGAACTTCCCCATTCTGGCAAAGGAAATAGACTTCCAGGAAGTCCAGGAAGCTCAGAGTCCCAAAGAAGTTGGACCCAAGAAGGAACACACCAAGGCACATCATCATTACATTAGCCGAGGTAAAAATGAAGGAGAGAATCCTAGAAGCAGCAAGAGACAAGGAGACAGTAACCTACAAAGGAGTTCCCATCAGGCTATCAGCTGATTTCTCAAAAGAGACCTTACAGGCAAGAAGGGGCTAGAAAGAAGTATTCCAAGCCATGAAAGGCAAGGACCTCCATCCCAGACTGCTCTATTCAGAAAAGCTTTCATTTAGCATGGAAGGGCAGATCAAGTGCTGCTCAGATAAGGTCAAGTTAAAGGAGTTCATCATCACCAAGCCCTTATTATGTGAAATGTTAAAGGGACTTATCTAAGAAAAAGAAGATAAAAGAACATGTATGGTAAAATGACAGCAAACTTACAATTATTAACAACCACACCTAAAACAAAACCAAAAGAAACTAAGCAAACAAGTAGAACAGGAACAGAACCACAGAAATGGAGCTCACATGGAGGGTTAGCAACAGGGGAGTGGGAGGAGGAGAGAAGGGGAAAAGGTACAGAGAATAAGTAGCATAGATGGTAGGTAGAAAATAGACGGGGAGGGCAAGAATAGTATGGGAAATGTAGAAGTTAAAGAACTTATGACACATGGACATGAACTAAAGCGGGGGAATGTGGGTGGGAGAGGGTGTGTAGGGTGGAGGGGAGGGAAGGGAAATGGGACAACTGTAATAGCATAATCAATAAAATATATTAAAAACAAAACAAAACAAAAACCATAGTCCTCAAAGTATCTCTCTACTGAAAGGTCACTTTTGCAATTAGGGTTTTGGTTCCCATTCTATAGGTGGGTCCCTAGCTAAGATTCTGTTTGGAAAAAAAGCTTAGAATCACTTGCTTAGATGACCAACTAAATTAAAATCTAGTACTTCCCCACTTTCTTATGCCTTTAAGACCCAGGCACACATCCTCTCTTTCCATCACCCTCTTTCATGTCTTTGCATGTCCATGAAGGCGCTGGCCAGGGCTCTCTCCCACATCTGCAGCTCAGAGGCATGAGCTCGCTGAAGCCCACAGACTATTGTTTTTGGCACAGCCCCAGGTTTCCAGATACAAGGTAGAGATGTGTCTGTCTCCCCCAGATGTGTGATGGCAGCCAAAGACACAAAACACAGCCAGTTCTGGTTTTCAATTGAAAAGTGATATCAACTCCCCTTCCTTTCCCTGACTCTCCATTTAAGGTCAGAGAGTACCAACATATATTTTACAGAGCTTTGATGAGTTGATTAGCCTATGAGAAAGGGTTCATCACTCAGTTTGTGTAACAGAACTGAAATCAATTCAAATCAAACTCCTCAATGGTAGCTTCTGATTTTCCCAGTCATGGATCTCACCTGGATATGATCTCTTCGGCTTCCTTCTGATAGTGCAGCAAGAGCTGATCCCACGTCTGACGTTCTAAAGAAAACCTACAGAATAAAGAAAAAATTCTGTTAATTTTTGATGATCTCATTGCCTAGTCTGGCTCTAAGGCATGAATAAAAAGGTAATTAAAAGATTAGAAACCGTGACTGATTTAGAGGATATTAATTTAATAAAATTAAACATGAGTTCTTAAAATCTTTAATATCCTTATTCCCTAGACACCTTTCTATGAAATTGGCCATCGTTCAGCCCATAAGATCCCAAAATGCAGCTTTCTAGCTTCTCGTGTTACTACACTAGCAATCACACTCAAACAAGATGTTTATTATTCTCCCAGGTTTAGTTACTTTCCCCAAGTGAATTTAGATTTTCTAACAAAGGTTCACTCATGTTCACTTACTTTGTTATGTATTCCTTCATCTCAGCCACTGATGTTTCCAAGGACAAATCTGATGCTTTTCTAGAATACAGATATAATTTTGAGATTAACACACATCTTTCAACAGCACTTGCTTTTAATGACACCTTACATAACTTTAAAGGCAACAAAACACATCCAGAATGTATCTTTTTCTAAAAAATATATTTATTTACTGATTACACAGAGGCTAAGGGGATGGGGGAGAGTGAGGGAGGGGGAGAGGGGGCGGGGTGGGGAGGGAGAGAAACATTGACGTGAGAGAAACATCAATGGGTTGCCTTCCGTACATGCCCCAATGGGGGATAGAACACGCAACCTAGGCATGTGCCCTGACTGGGAATTGAACCTGCAGCTGTTCAGTTTATGAGACGATGCTCCAACTGAACCATACCAGCCAGGGCCAGAATGTATGTTTCAACAATATTTACTCTTGGACTCTCACTTTGGTACTAGGTCTCTTCATCTTTTATTTCTCCCATAAATTCCAATTCATACATGGCCAGATGAACCCTTCTTAAAATATTCTTTTAGTTTTTTTCCCTTGCTTAAAAACTCTGTGACCCTCTGCTGCACTCAGAAAAATCAAAACTCCTTAACGTGGCACCCAAGTCTCTCTGTTGTTGCTCTATCCAGCTCACTATCTTTGATTCCCACTGTTACCTTCTGATTCTGTTTCATATAATCCCAATCATCCTGACCCTGAATATCTTGGGTTTTCAATCTCTCAACTGCCACATCATTTTTCAATCTCTTCCCCTTCTACTATCAGAACCTTAAGATCTTGTAAGGCTCAACGATATTTTTTGCATATGACTATGTCTTCCTCCTTAAACTAAAGCTATTGCTGGACAGGGGTTATATTTTACTTATACCAATGGCTCAGCTCAGCTGAGTGATTAATCTTAATGGAAAAGAAGCACTGAAAATGCCAAAATTTTGCAGACTACTTGGTACTTTACTTGACAAAGGCAGATAAGTTGTTCCACCTTTCATGTTTTTCTACCAAGGCCTATGACACACAGCCACCACCACTGCTGGCTAAGATGCAGCAGCCTATGGCTTACATATGCTGCATTAAAAAAGATACTAAGTTGGCCCTGGCTGGTGTGGCTTAGTGGATGGACTGCTGGCCTGTTAAGCAAAGGGTCACTGGTTCGATTCCCAGTCAGGGCACATACCTGAGTTGCAGGCCAGGTCCCCAGTAGGGGCAGTGTGAGAGGCAACCACACGGCGATGTTTCTCTCCCTCTCTTAAAGAAAAAGAAGCCCTGGCTAGTGTAGCTCAGTGGATTGAATGCGGGCTGTGAACCAAAAGGTAGCCAGTTCAATTCCTAGTCAGGGCACATGCCTAGGTTGCAGGCCAGGTCCCTTAGTGGGGGCCCCGTGAGATGCAACTACACATGATGTTTCTCTTCCTCTCTTTCTCCTTCCCGAAGCCCTCTCTCTAAAAATAAATTAAAAAATTAAAAAAAAAAAGATGCTAAGTTGAACCAAAATATATTATTTTTTTAATTACTCAAAACCTTTATTTTTTTTAGCTTTCTGATTCTGTGCTTGTGCCTTCAACACTTCCACAACACTTTTCTGCTCCTCAGTAAGGAAAGCATGCTTGATCCTGTGGTGGACAGACTCAGCACACACAGATCCACCATAGGCCTTGCTGACAAGTTTTTTCGGTAGACAACCTCATCAGAACTCTAGGTCTCACAGCACGAGCTCCCTGAAGTCGGCTTGGGCACACTCCACATGCAGATTTTGGCGCTTTCCCAACCTTCTTGGTGTAAAGGTAAACGATTCTATTACCAGAGGCTTGGGGCAGCCGCGCTTTGTTAGAGGCTGTATTGCAGGACAGCCTCCAGCGGGGTGTCAAGTGCTGGACCATTCTGAATGCCTGAGGACACCGTCTGTGGAAGAGTGAGCCAAAGTATTTTCCATTTCCTGTATAGCAACGTTAAATCTAAGGATGGATGGAAAAGCAGACCTCTGCAAAGTCAAAACTAAAAACTGTATGATGTAAGCTCCAGTGACATGATGCATTGCAAGGCAAGGGGTAGCGGGCTGGGCCCCACCCCTATACAGGAAACCAGCAGTGAAGGAGCAGGGTTTGTAATCACTCTTAATATTCTTGTTTGTCAACAGCTAAGGAACATAACTTGCATGGCTAGCAAAGACCTGAAGAATGCTTTTCCTTTCATCTCTCCATGGCAGGTTCCTTCTCACCATTCAGGTCTTACAGGTCTCAGTTTGAAGGTCAATTCATTAGAGGTCTTCTCTGAGACCTAACTAACCCACCCTCTGAAATAGTGATATTTCACTATTAGTGAAATAGTGATATTACTGACTTCCTAGATCACTACCTTAAACCATTATCTATGTACTTATTTGACTGTCTCACCTATAAAATATATCAGAACAGAGAACATGTATGACTTAGTTGTCACCCTACATCTCCAACATCTAGAAAAGCCTGGTATGTAGAAGATGCTGGATAAATGGTTCCTATTTTTTTAAAGATTTTATTTATTTATTTATTTTTAGAGAGGGGGAGCGAGAGAGGGGGAGCGAGGGAGGAAAATCACATGTTTCAAGGAAGAGGGGGAGAGTAGCACTGATGTGAATAAGTAACATCAATCGGTTGCCTCTTGTATGTGCCCGGATCAGGACCGAACCTGCAACCCAGGCATGTGCCCTGGCCGGCAACTGAAGTGGGGACACTTCCCTTTGCAGGACGATGCCCAGCCAACCGAGCCACACCAGTCAGGGCTGGATAAACGTCTCTTGAATAAATGAACAACTAATTATAATAAAAAGTCTTAAAGTATAATTTGGGACAGAAGGACAATTGAACTTACCCTTTTGAATCCTCAAAACATTTCTGTAGAGTTCCATTACTTTCTAGTCCGTCTGCAAAATGTTTCAATTCTTCAGAAAGAGAAGATGCTAGAGAGCATAAAATCACATGTTATAAAGAGAACATAAATTTCCACAGCATGATGCTCACAAAGACATAACACACTTAAGGTGGTCCCAGCTCTAGGTTTCCCTGTTACTTTAAGACCCTCTCGCCCATTCAAAAAAGTGGTATAAGTATGCAGAAAGTATTTTTCCCCTTTGAATAGGTATAGATAAAATGAAAGACAATTCTTCTAAATGGCATTTTTTGACTGTGTTTTTTTTTTTAATATCTGACTGATGAAAAAGCACTTAAAAAGATTTATCTGCATTGACATTTCATTCTTTTCAAGAGATCTGAGCTGCTGGCACTGAAAGGAAATCTATCAGAAAAGTCAGGCAACGGAAAAGAATGTAATAGAAAATTGTGAAGTCAACTAAAGAATTACAGGCGGCCCTGACTTGTGGGGCTCAGCTGGCTGGGCATTGTTCCGCAAAGCAAAGCGTCGTCGGTTTGATTTCCAGGCAGGGTATGTGCCTGAGTTTTAGGTTCAGTCCCCAGTTCAGGCGTGTGCAAGAGGCAACTGATCAATGTTTCTCTCACACATCGGTATTTCTCTCCCTCTTTCTCCCTCCCTTACCCTCTCTCTAAAATTAGATAAAATCTTAAAAAAAAAAAGAATTATGGGCATAAGTAAAAACAGTTCTCTGCTTATACATTCAGGTGAAAAAATGAAAAAGAGAAAGGGTGTTAAACAGCTATCAAGATAGGCTTGACATATCTACTCTAATTACGGTGATGGTCCAATTCTGAGATAATTGTTTTTAATTCTCACCCAAGGACATACCCATTAATTCCGGAGAGAGGAAGGGAGAGACAGAGAGAAACACTGATGTGAGAGAACACCAACAGGTTACCTCCTGAATATGCCCAGACCAGGGGCTGACCTGCAACCTAGGTCTGTGGCCTGATCGGGAATTGAATCTGCGATCTTTCAGTTTACGGGATAATGCTCCAATCAACTGAGCTATGCAGGTCAGGGCTGAGATAAACAATTTTAATTAACAAGCCTGAGTTCATGTATTTTGCAGGTTTTTAAAGTGGGTAACATTGAGTATTCTGACTGTGGGTGATTTTGTAGTTACTGAATGAAGAATAGCTACTTTCCCTGGCTGGCGTAGCTCAGTGGATTGAGCGCGGGCTGGGAACCAAAGTGTCCCAGGTTCGATTCCCAGCCAGGGTACATTCCTGGGTTGCAGGCCAGAACCCCCAGCAACCGCACATTGTTTCTCTCTCTCTCTCTCTCCCCCTCCCTTCCCTCTCTAAAAATAAATAAATAAAATCTTAAAAAAAAATAGCTACTTCCTAGAAAGCTAAAAGTTTGATTCCTGGGAAAAAATATTTGTAACTTACATCACAGATAAACAGCTAATTTTCTTAATAGAGTTACTATAAATCAATACAAAATGCCAACACATCAATTTTCAAAAATGAACAAAGGATATGACCAGAAAGTGAAGGACATATGGTTCTAAATACTACTTAAAAATGCTCATTCTTGCCCTGGCTGGTATGGCTCAGTGGACTGAGCACTGGCCCATGAACCAAAAGGTTGCTGGTTTGATTCCCAGTCGGGGCATGTGCCTGGGTTACAGGCCAGGTCCTCAGTAGAGGGCATGTGAGAGGCATCCACACACTGATATTTCTCTCCCTGTCCTTCTCCCTCTCTTCCCCTCTGTCTAAAAATAAAGAAAATCTTTTTAAAAAACAAAAAACAAAAGACGAGGTAAATAACAGTGCAGAGAGTATTAACTGATTTTAATGTCTAATTGTTTGCAAATGCAGTATCTCTTCGATGATATGTAAGAAGCTGGTGGCTACGGTCGCCTCTCTGGAGAGGAGCTACAAATAGGGTCTGGGGTGGAAGGCAAGCTTACGTTTCACTTTTATACCTTCTGAATTTCATTAGCATATATTTTTAATGCAATTTCAAAAATAAAGAAGAAGGGGCTGGTTTTGTAAGGTAGCAGCTCCTGTAAATGGGGATCTTGAAAGTGGGACCTCTACTGACTTTAACAGAAGGTACAGCTCAAGGTCAATGCTCACTTATCTATTCTTAGCAACTGACCTTTGGCTCTAAAACTTTCCAGACTGAAGCCCTCGGTGTCCTTTAGGAAAGGTTCAAGCTTCTGAACAGAGAACTAAATAAAGAAAAGCATTTTTAGTACACAACAACCAAGATTTTCCATGCTAGTCCCAACGAAGTTCATGTAATTTTATGATGTTTAATAAATGTGAAGTAAACATGATATAATCTTTATACCTAAGATTTTTAATATAATCAAGTAGATCAGGGAAATACTTTGTTGGTAAGACTATACACTTTGATTTTTGGTTCAAGGAAAAAATGGTCATTTCACATAAATGACTTATTTATCTAAACTGATATAATAAACAGCTAACTATATAATAAAGACTTAGTATATACTCAGACCTACAATGTCTGCTTTAGCTTAGATTGACTTCCACTCATTTTAAATTACCACTATTTCCTGTCATTTGCTGCCAATGGCAAAAGATACTAGACTGGGGAAATCTCTCACCGTTAGCTGCTCAGTTAGCAGCAGCAGCAGCACCAGTGGGACAGACAGCCTAGTCCAGACCAAATCAGCAGCTGGGATTAAATCTGGCTTCTACATTAATCCCAACTCGAGAGAAACATCTTTTCATTTTAACAGATACATCACACAGTACTGGGACTGTCACAGTAACAGTTTAAAAAAAAAAAAAAAAAGAAAGGCTCTGGCCAGGGAGAGTGCCGTCCCCGTATGTCAAGATTGTGGGTTTGATCCCCAGTCAGGGCACATACAAGAATCAACTAATGAATGCATAAATAAGTGGGATAACAAATTGCTATTTCTCTCTTTCTCCCTCTCCCAAATCAATAAATAAAAATGAATAATAAAAGAAGAAAAGCATTTCCCAGTCCTGGAAGCAAATCTCACCTGGAAGCTGGAGAGCAGGAGTGAGCCCAGCCGCTTGCTTTCTGCCAGATCAACACTGATGGATCTGCTGAGCTCTGACACACAGAAGCACCACATTTAGGGAGCAGGGTAGTCACACAGCCAGCAAAGTAAAACACCCGAAATTTCCCTCCCTCTTGGTGCAGCCCAGCTTAAGGCAAGAATGCCCAAGAAGCCTTCTCTAATTAAAGGGAGAATTCATATATAGTCACATCTGATTTTTTCAGGATTACCAAGGAATGCGATTTTACCCATTTGTGCATCCTACTTTTAAAGTTTTAAGAACCTTTTATGTATTACATTAAAATCTTGTCTTGTTAATAAACAAGGCAGACAAATAACTTTGTTGATATTTTATATTCACCATTCAAAGAAAGGAGATGGGAATATTCGAGTATTTCTATGACAGGCTCTGAGGTGGGCTTTAAATACACTGTTTAAGAGTCCTCTCATAATCTATGAGCTCCATTTTACAGATGTGGACACTGAAGCTCAGATGGGAGATGACTTGTCTGCAGCCGGAAATTGGTGAAGCAAGCATTCAACCACAAGCCTGTCACCAAAACCTGTATTTTTCCCAGTAACAACACCATGACGTCTTCTACCGTGACCTAATGACATTAATCGTAATTTGTTGAACACTTGTTTTAAAAGGCTTTTTATTAAACACTATACACACCTCATTAAAACTTGAGGCAAGTATCTTATCTGTCTATTTTACAGACGATGACACTGAGGCACAAAAAGTGGGCAGTAGGTAACTCACCCAAGGTCACATGGTGAAGCAGCCTGAATTGGACAGGCATTTTACATAATTATGCCACTGAATCCTCAAACAAGTACAGGATGGAGACAGTTTTTCCAACTATGTCCATTTAAAAACATCAGTTACTGCCCTGGGTGGCGCAGCTCAAGGGATTGAGCACTGGCCTGCGAACCAAAAGGTTGCCAGTTCAATTCCCTGTCAAGGCCTGGGTTGGGGGCCAGGTCCCTGGTGAGGGGGGTGCAAGAGACAACCAAACAATCTCTCTCTCTCAATCTCTCCCCCCTTCCCCCTCCTCTAAAAATAAATAAAATAAAAACATCAGTTATTATATAGCAAAGGAAGTTTACTTTGAGAATTTGAGAGATGCATGTCTTTTCGTCTTCTACCTTCATCTGGTTGTGTAATTTTTAAAGTTCTTTTCTCTCCTCTCTTGACAACTTCTCACTGCCGTTAGTCAAGAACAACGGAATACCTCCTACCTATGACCAAAGAAATCTAGCAAGTGGCCAGGAATACCTGGGAGAAAATCAGTCTCACTACAGTGATTTTCTGTGACACAGATTTTCAGGTCCACATGCTCCGGAACAGAGATAAAGGTTGGGGTAATCTTAGGTAACTCCTGATGCTTTCTTGGCACATCTATGGAGTAAAGTACATGAGCGTAACTGGGGCAGCAATTTTCTGATATGCTAAAGGGCTGTTTTTATCCAGACTTCCTGTTAGACATCAGGCCATCTGGAAGTGAGGTAACAGCTTTAAAATAATCACAATAGCTTAACATTTGAGCTATTTACCACATGCCAAGTACTGTGTTATATATCAATTTGTTTACTCCTCACACAATCCTGTAAAAATAGGTCTTATCTCACCCCACTTACTGATAAGGACTATTAAGACAGAGGAAATAAACTGCCTCAGGTCATACGGCCTTTCCTGAAACGTGCCAGACTTTCCACATTAGATCCTGTGCATCATCGCTCACTGAAATGTAATCATCATTATAAACGCATACAAAAGCACATTCAAATACAACATGTCTAAAGACTTGGTTTTCACTCTAGATATTTCTACGGGCGTCTTCCCTCTGAGATATTTTCAGTTATAAAGCCTGAAATCAGGTAGCAACCTGTGTAACTCCTGTTCCACTTTAGGACATGAAGCAGAAAGCCACAGGAAGAAATCTCGATACCCCTAGTCCCAACATAGGTAAGTGTTGGACGACTGAACTCAGAACTTTTGTTCACGTTGTAAATTACAATGGGCAGCTAGGTAATAATATGATGTAAAATCATTAACAGTGAACACTTACTAGGTGTTTGACACAGTACTCATCATCTTAGATTGTTCCTCTTTGAGATGAGGAAACTGAGACTCAGAGACGTGATGTGATTTACTCGGTCACATAGCTAATCCGCAGCAAAGTCAAGTCTGTCTCACCACGCTTTCTGCCATGCCTCACCGTCACATTTTATTTGAGCTGCAACTCCACTGTCGTATACACACAGCACCCCACCTGTAATGCCCTGATGAAAGGGAGGCAGTGACTTCCGCCTGTTCATTCCTTTCATGCTTGCTCGCCGCCAGGACTGCCTTCTGTCTTGACGATGGGCAGACTGCTCTTGGGGAGACAAATGAAGGGGCCTGGACTGAAGTACTTCCTCGTGGCTGAGATCACAGCTTCCCCCTTTTTCACAGCCAATGTGAATCCTTTCCTTTGAAACACCTCGAGTCATCTCCAGGGAGGCAGACGATCTGTTGCACGCGTCCTCAGGGCTGGGATCTGATTCCGATTGATGAGTACGAGTCTTAGATGTAACCGGTTCCTCTTGTAGCACTTGTTATAAAAAAGCCAAAATATAAGATCAAACCCACCACAACCAAGTTTCTGTACAAAAAGATGGAAAAAGAAGACATATGCCCCAGATCATGGAAACGCTTTGGAAGCACCTGTGCAAATACATGACTATGTGATTCCAGCTCCACCAAGAGCCAGGAAAGCATGTGAGTCTAGTTGAGAAACCTGAACCCAAGGTAAAAAGCACAATACTCACCTTCTATGGTCTCTGATCTAGTCACCGAAGTCATCCTGGGGGGAGAACCCTAAAAGAGGAAAATGAGGTGATCTGTTCTACGCATTTCAGCCCATCTCCCTGGGGTTTTACTACAATAGAATAAGCCTTGTGCTTTCCAGCCTCTCTTAATTATCAGTCTCTGTCCCATGAAATTTACCTACTTGACAAGGTCCAGCCCAATGCCGCCTCACCCACCACGTCCACAGACACTATCAGTGGGGCTCGTCACCTCCAGTTCACTAGAAACACTCATAGCTCCCTGAACACATAACCTATCTTATTGCCACATTATTTTGTGCTTAAGTAGTCCCTAATTTCCTAATTCAGTTGATGGCATTATGACCTTGGTGGTCTTCCAAACTAGAAAAATTACATCATCCTCTACTTTTTATTCTTAACTCTTCAGACCCCAAAATCCATCCATTCTACCTCCAACAATCTCTCTAAATCTTTTTAAAATTAAGTTTATTAAAATAGCATTGGTTAATGACATTATGTAAATTTCAGGTGTACAACTTTATAATATGATGTCGTATACTGCACTGTGTATTCATTATCCTAAATCTAGTCCTCTTCCATCACTATACGGGGGCGGGGGGGGGGACGACAAAGTATGTTGTATGGAAAAATACACTAATTAATAGTAATACAACAATAAACTCTGTGTTTTGCATATTATCCCCTGTATCCTCTCCCCATCCCTCTTCCCCTCTGGTAACCACAATTCTCTTGTCTGTGTCTATGAGTTTGACTCTAAATCTTTTCTTCACTTCCAATTCCTAGTTTATTTCAGGTCTGCTAATTTCCATCACCTCCCCCCACCCTCCACCCAATAATCTAACAGCCTGTCCATTTGTTTTCCTGCATCCAATACCACTCCTCTCCTATCCATTCCTTAGACAGTAGCAGATTTTCCCCGTGTGTTCAACACTTTTCACAAGCTGGTCCCAACCTACCCATTCATTCCTGCTCTCTCCTGCCACTCCCCTTCCTTGCACCATGTTTGAATCTTTGCACACATGGCCTGTACAACCTACCCATCCTGCCCAAACTAGCTTAAATGTGAAGCTTTCACACCACTTCTCTTTGGCAGAGTTGGTTACTCCACCCCTTGGCCTCCCCAGCACTGGCTGTCAAGCCTGTTTCCCAGTCTGTCTCCCCAGGCAGACTGTATTTGTATTCCTAGTGCTTGTCACCAAGGACTGACTGAGGACGAGCCTGAGGCATTTCTACATCTGCCAGGCTTACCCTTCCCTCCCAGCAAAAATCTGTAGGGAGGGGGGTTGCTTAATGACTATCTGGAGGGACAACGTGGAAAAGAGAACAAGAACGGATAGATCAGAGATCTAAGTCCCCGCAGTTATGACTGTCACAGATTCAAGCCTGGGCGATAGCAGCAACAACTGTCATTAGTTAAGCCGCTTGTTAGACACTGTTTTATGCCAGGACAAGTGTTGTATGTGAGCGCTTTATTTGTATCATTATCTCATTATCCCATTTAATCCTTTCCACAGCTCCATAAGTATTAATACTACCTCTCACCCCTCCTTGCAGATAGAGGAACTGAGGTTCAGAGGGCAAAAGCCTGGCCCAAGCTAGTTACGCACCCAGTCTGGGGCAAAAGCAGAATTCTGTGACCCACCCCAACCCTTCAACCACTGTTCAGGAGTCTGGACCACTGGCTCTGCGGACACGTCAAGGGAGAGGCGCGGCCCGTCCTCGGTTTTCCTCTCGGCCAGGGCAGGCCGCAGCGCCCTGGGGCACCCCTAGTGCCCCCGGTGGGGCAGCGGCGATCGGCCTGGACTGGGCCGAGGTAAGACGCCCAATTGGCGGGTGCGGAAGTGAGGCGGGGAGCGTCCGGGGAAAGGTATACGACTTCCTGACCTCAGAGCGATGCCCGTCCATTCTGAAGACTCCGTTCTTGAAATACAAGACTGCAGGTCACTCTCCGCCGTCACTGGTCAGACCTGGACCCCTGTACTTGTCGCTTCCATTACAGGTCCTGTGCGTTTTCCGCCGACCACGCCCCACGCAACCGCCGCCGCCACCGAAACTCCCGCCAACTAAGGGCGCATGCGCATCCAGCTGCCCCGCCCACGCCCGGGGCCGCGCGTGCGCACGCAGAATGCCTGCTGCCCACAAAGCGCATGCGTAAAGTGGTGTTTAACCCTTAGCGAGACCTGCCGAGGCGTCCAAATCCTTCTGCACCCTGAAGTGGCCGTGTTACCACCTACTACATACCCGGAGCCTCCTGGGGCCGGTCACACCATCGTGATTTTAGCGCTCCACGAGGCTAGAACCCATCTAAGATGGGGAAATGGGCCCGGAGAGATACTTGCCAAAGGAATATAGCATATCAGCAACCTAAGCTCTGCCCTGTCGCTTAGCCATGGTTCCTCCTCCCTGTATCTTCTTAGGGGTGAACAAGTGAACTGTGTCTCCCAGGGCGGACGCTGGCTAGGTGCTGTTTGCTTCATCGTATTGTACTCCTGCATTTAGCACTTTTTCTCCTCTGTGGCCCTTTTAATACATAAAGTTCGAGACTGCTTTACAGTCTCTGCAGAAACCCTCAAACTGCTTGCTGCTCCTCTGCCCATCCCCATAGCTTCTTACCTCTGCTCCTTTGATCGCCATTCCCTCCGCCTGAGAAGCCCTTCCCTGCCTTTTTCCTGGCAATATTCTCCAGTTTTAAGCCTCAGGTGAGGATTCATTTCTCAGAACCTTCTCTGAGGTCCCGGGATGAAAACCAGATGCCCCTTTATACGCGCAAGATGCCAGCCTGTGCCTTTTTCACTACTTGTTGGCTGGAGAGAGCAGGCTGCTTCCTCAGCACCCAACAGGATGCCGTGAAAAATGTCTGTCCCCTTGCATGTGGAGTTCTTTCAGATTTGAAACCTCCAAATGTTGACTTATGAGCAGTCCACAACATCTGAAGGAAGTTAGGGTGCGGCAGCTGGAGCATGACTGGTCCTCTTTCCATAGCAGCTGTAGTCTTTGGAAACGTTTTTCCCATAGGAGGCAGAATTCTGCCTTGTTGAAATTTCCACCACGTGGTTCCAGCCTGCTGGCTCCAACAGCCGTGGGAAAGCAGAGATTTGCTCTTGGTTCCCTGAATATCACTTTCCGGGGGGTCAGTGGTACCCAGTTCCTTCTGTGTTCTGAGAACAGAACACAGTGTTTTCATCCAGGGCTGGCCATCCTGGAGCACAGTGAGCACATATAGCTTAATGGAATCCAGGCCCAGTACTTCCTAGGACTATCTCCTTTCCCAGCTTTCAATTCTTCCACAGCTCCCTAATGCCCAGAGAATGTGGACATTTGTCCCCTCATAGGCGCTGTGTGACCTGACCCAGCCTCTTCTTTCATCGTTCCCCATTCCAGTGACATCAGACTTCTTCCAGTTCCCCAGTTCCGCTTTCTCTACTAGGCTCTCACACATGCTGACCCCTCTCCCCGCAACCGTCTCGCCTCAGTCTCTTGCCTACAACACATCACCATTCCCTCATCTGGTCAACATCTCAATCTCAGGGGCCAGTGCAGGTATCTTTTCCTCTGTGAAGCCTTTCCTGAGATTCCTCTTGGCCCCCTGGGCTCCCCCTGCCATTGGCATCTGCGTTCCTGTCTTCCAGGCCCCTCTATTGTACCCTCAATGCCTAGCATGGGCTGTTGTAAGGTCCTCAAAAAAAAAAAAAAAAGACTTGTAGAATTTTTATGTGGTAGCCAGCTCCCAAGATGGCCTTCAAAGATTCCGGCTTCCTGGTGCTCGTGTCCAGTGTAGCCCTCTCCCACAATGCACAGGGCTGATGTGTATAACCAGTAAGACATTGCAGAAGTGATAACGTGATTTTCAAGGTTTAGTCACAAAAGACATTGTGGCTGCTACCCTGCTCTCTCACAGATCACTTACCCTGGGGGAAGCGAGCCCACTGCGCTGTGATACTCGAGCAGCCTCACAGAGACAGCCACATGGGAGGGAACTGAGACCTCCTACCCACAGTCAACACTGACCCGCCAGGCATATAAACTGTCTTACAAATGGGTCATCCAGTCCCGGTCAAGCCTTCACGTGACTGCAGCCTGATCAACACCTCACTGCAATCTCCTGTGACCCTGAGCCCCAAGTACCCAGGTCCTGAATTCCTAACCCGCAGCATCTGTGATATAAAATGTTTTGGAGTAATGAATTATACTGTAATCAATAGTTAACTCATGTCTAAAGTGTCCTTTCCCCCACCCCATGATGACATTTTTAAAGCCTTTTGTAGGAAAGTTCAATTCTACTTTTTGAGCGCTCTGCATTTGTTTCTCAGTGGTCATATCACATGTAGCGGGAGACTCTGAGGTGTCAGCAGTCAGCAACAGAGAATACCTGGTGGCCCCTCCCAAGTGGCCCCAAACCAGCCAGCTGGCTGTGGCATTCCCAGGGCAGGATCCCTCCTTTCCAGGCAACTAGGGGTGGGGTACAGTCAAGTTTCAAATCTCCTGGGGGCCCCACCCACCCCATAAGAGAAATCAGAGGAGGCATGGGAACTGTTCATATGACATACTTTATTTCCAATCTACAACCATTAAAAACCCTTTGAAGTTTACACTGTACAGTTATTCTCATGTCTGAAATAAGACACGGGGGGCAGGGAGAGCTAGTGGATTGGACTACAGTTGTCCTAGCACCCAATCCAGCCAGGGAAGGAGCCTTTTGAAGAAAGGAGTGAGGAGGAGAAGATGATGGACAGGAGAGGCAGACAGTTTGGCCCAAGGATACCCTTGGTCCCTTCCCTCCTGAAGACCTTTCCCTGGGCCCACGACTGCAGGGACCCTCCCCAGGAAGCCAGGCTGGGCAGAAAGGGGGCTTCACAGTACTGGCAGGGGTTGGGAGGGGCAGGATGAAAAAGGAAGGACAGCTTCTGGCTCTCTCCCCCAGTTGCTGGGGGTCAGAGCTGTTTTTTGGCACATCTACAGGGTCTCCGTGGAGGTGGGAGGAGGAGGAGCTGGGGATTTAGGATTCTCTTCTTGAGTTTGGTTTCTTTCCGTTTGAAGAGGGGCCATGAATCTACGGTGAGGTTGCCAAGGGACAAATGATCGGGGTTTTTCCTCCTGTCCCCCAGGACTGCCACCTCCTGCCTGGCTGGCACCAGCCTATATAACCTTTTGTGAAACTCAGACAAGTGGGAGAGGTGAGCGGAGCTGGAACCAAGCCAGGGGCAGAAAAGGAAAACTGCAGGCCTTCTCTCTGTCCTCCAGCTTCCAGGAAGAGAACCGGTTTGTGGTGGGAGAAGGGCAGGTGGGGACAGTTCCCAGGCTCTCGGAGTCTGCAGGTCAGTGCTTTCCATCTGTTCCTGGTCTGGGCCAGTCTCAGTCAGGTCAGCAGCTGGCAAACTATCATTTTACCAGCATTATCCAGAGGGCTTGCTAAACCCCAGCTTGCTGGACCTCACTCCAGAATTTTGAATTCCATAGGTATTGGGTGGTGCCAATACTTTGCATTTCTAGGAAGTTATTTTGAGAACCTCTAAGTACCTCATCCTCAACAACCTGGCACCCCAAGGCAGTAGTGTCAGGGAGCTGGGCCACAGCTGGCAAAGCCCAGTCTGAGAGGCACCAAATACCTGGGAAGCTGCTAGGAACAGTCTTGTGGTGAGCCCCCTGTGCAGAGAAGTAAATAAGGCACAGAGATCAGGGGCAGAGCTGAGAGACCAGGGTGCAGTAGAGAGAGGATGGTGATGCAGCATCCCAAAACACGAGGGATGCCCTGGGGCCCTGGGGATCGCCCTGATGCATGTCAAAAAATTATACCACCACCTGAACTCAGAGAAGTTAGGAAGCCTGCCCGGACCTGGGCCAGGTCTCCAGATTCCTGGCTGAGGTTTCTCATCATGGAAGCAGTTTCAGCGTTACAATACTGCAGTGTGACAAGGCAGCCAGGCCCTTATACCTTGGCCCTTCAAGGATACTTAAGGGAAACCAAAGCTTCTTTACTTGGGGCCTGGGGTCCAGAGGGCTGGTGGAGGGCAGGAAGGGACAGGGGCAGGGAAATGGGAGAGACAAGGGATGGTCCTAGGTGTGAGGGAGGAGTGGGGAGGGGCCTTGTGCAGGGGACTCGGGCCCAGCACCATGTCTCCTTTGGTTCCTGACCTGTGGACTTTGCAAACTGCAGATGCTGTTGGGAGGGCCGAGGGGCAAGGGGCAGAGCCAGGGGCAGCTACAGGTCCTTACAGGAAGAGCTGTTCTGGGGCTGGTGAGGCCCGAGGGAAAGCAGAGAGAATGGTGGGATGTCAAGTGGACAGACAGATGGACAGATGACCAGGCGGAGAAGAACCCAAGCCAGGCTGCATCTCCTCAATCAAAGCCATGCAGGACTGGGAAGGGTAGAGGCCAGAAATGAGAGTCCAAAGCACCCCCACCACACACACTCCCCGTGGAAGGTGCTGGGTCCTTCCAGGAGGCCATGGACAGAGGAGAGCATGCCTCAAAGATGGGACTGGAGATGTTTCTGGGCTGGGGGGTGGCTGGGCCTAAGCCCAATGAGAAGGGCTGGCAGGGCTAATGCCAGTGGAGGCATTGGGGAGAGATGTCCCCTTCAGTGTGGGAAAACATGAAATAAAACCTAACCCATGAAAGTACCCCCGGATCTGAACAGCAAACATCAGAGCTGGGAGGCCACAGCCAAGGGCAGTTCCCCGATAAGACAGGAATGTGAGCCTGGGGTCAGCAAGGGGGCTGTTGAGGGCACAGGGAAATCCACGGGAGGGGAGCATGCTGGGGAGGCCCTTCTGGGAGGGCTGAGGGTCCAGAAGAGGAAAACCTGCCCGTTGGTCAGGGCCCCCAGACCTGCAGGTGGGAACCAGCAGAGTAGAGGAGGCAGGAGAAAAGGAAGATTTGAGGAAGATGATAAAAGAGAGGATGGTGAGAGGTGGGGAGTGAGCAGACAGCCTGGACAGCCTGGATAGAGGAAGAGGCGCAGCCGAGATCGCTGAATGGCAGGGTTGTGTCACGATCACTATTTGGGATGCAGAAACCTGGGTTCTGGCCCTGGCTCTGCC